AGGAAGCCAGGCTTGATTTTGTCTGCCTTTTGTAAGACAGTCTTTCACAGAATGGGATCAGGTTTCCCTTTTATCTTGACTAACTAGTTATTCCTCAGTCTTGATGTAGAATGCTGAGGAGGAGGTGGGCATAATGTTCTAGGGGGGTGGGCATCATGGGGAGCTTGTTCGGAAGGTTCTAGTTTCCTAGTAATGAAGTCATGCAGGGGAAACTTTGGAAAAATTCATGGACTGGGAATGGAATATAAGTAGTGACTGGAAAGTTCAGCAGTCCTGTAAAAAGCTCATCTCCTCTTTAGAGATCATGACTGTATGAGGTAGCTTTTCTATTTTTACTTTTTGGTCATTGAACTCAGGGATGCTTTACTATTGAGCTACATCCCTAGTCCTTTTTCAATTTTTTATTTTAAGACGGGATCTTGTGAGGTTGCTGAGGGTCTTGCTAAGTTGCTGAAGCTGGCCTAGAACTTATGCTCCTCTGGCCTCAAACTTCAAGTTGCTGGGATTACAGGCATGTGTCACTATGTCTGGCTAGAGGTGTCGGTTTTTGAATGTGGTTGGTCTGGGTTTGGGTCTCTCTCCACACTTTCTGTGCTGTGTGACTTTAGGTCAGGATGGTGATCTCTCATTCTCAGCTACCTCCTCTGTAAAGGGGATTGGCGATATCCACCTGACAGTGAAGATGAATAATATATGTAAAATACGTGGCCCTAATATGACAAATGACAGAGATAACTTCTGTCTAAACGGAGGGGTGGTGGAATTACTGATAAGAAAGAGAAGGATTACTGTGGCTGAAGGTGAAAAACAATATTAAACACAGAACCAACTAGAAACGGGACCCTAGAGGACGTAGAATATTTTTATCAGTCTGACAACAATATTCTAGACAAGAGCTAATCCTAGAAAAGTGCCTGGCCTACATAAAACAAAAGGTACTAGTCTCCCGCCTTCCAACAATCAGGGAGGGAAAATGTGATTGAGCTGAACACAAAAGACAGCATTGCATAACCGTGATAATGGTAAGCATTTATTAAGCACCAGCTGAAGGCTAGGTCCTGTTTCTTGCATATGTTCTAATCATGTGCTATCTCATTTGACGTTTTCAACATCCCTAAGACATAGGTGCTATGAGTAATTTCAACTTGGAAACTGAGGCACAAGCTTTAGTGAATTGCCCCAGGCCATGCTGTTGTAAATGACAAAGCAAGAATTAAATTTAGGCAGTTGGCAACAAAGTCCTCTTTTTCTCTCTTCAAGCCTTAAGGCATACATTATAGTTTAATCAGGAGCATATTTTTTCCTTCTTAGTGAAAACAGAGTTTTGAAATGAGAGTAGATTCCCTGTTTCACCAAATTCCTTCTGGGTTTTTTTGTTTTTCAAGTTTTGAAGAATAAAAATCCATGGACAACCACAGAAGCAAAGAATGAACACATTAGGATTTATTTGAGCAAGAAGTCAGAGAACTCTTGCTATACCGGATGAAGCCTGGCAGCAGAAAAACCCATTTGGGTGTGCTAGCTTAGGAGCTTATATATGGTTCTGGGTAGAGCATGGAGCAAAATCTATGTAAAGGTGGCATTGAAAACAGCACCAAGATCATTGATCAAAGTCATAAAAGCCAGGCGTGGTGGCACACACTTGGAGGTTGAGGGAGGGGCATCTGTGAGGATCAGCAATTTAGTGAGGCTCTAAGCAACCTCCTAAGACCCTGTCTAAAACAAAACAAAATAAAATAAAGGGTTAGGGATGTGGTTCAGTGGTTAAGCGCCCATCGTTCCGTCCCTGGTTACCACCCTCTGAAAAAAGTCTGTGGAAAACAGGCACAGAAAACAGCACCAAGAATATCACCTTTGAGGTTTTTTTTCTCCCCTGTATTTCTGGGGATTGAACACAGGGCCTCGTGCTTGCAAAACAAGCACTCTACCAATGAGCTACATCCCCAGTCCTACCTTTGGGTTTTAGTTCTTCCTATCAACTTCAGCTGGATTCACCTCCATCTCCCATTTTCCCACCTCTGGGGCCAAGGAATTGGCTGGAGGTGTTCCCACAGGAGAATCTCAAGGTCTTTCACATTTGAAATCGGCCTTGATGATGCTGTTTAATATTTCTCTGTGTGGTTTCTTTATTTCAATGAGCCCTTAGTTGGGACCCATCAGTTTTGATTGCTGATCATTGATATTCTTGGCATACCCATAAAGAACTTATGGAGATACTTAGGGCCCATGGGAAATTGCCTCTCCTAATTTCCTTCTGTCCTATTCCCATCTCACCTCCTTCTTTTCCAGGCCCAAGTGTCAGTGGTGGTAATTATGGAACACTCTTCAAGGGAACGTGAATCTTTTGGGACAAATGTCTCCTCTTCACAGGGAATTTTCTCCCTATTACTAGCTTTGGAGTATCAGGCTTAATTTTATTAAGGTAAATAAATGGCAATTTCTTTTAGGCCTTGACAGAAGAAGTGTGGATATAAATGCCAAGTTCTATAAAGCGTTATCTTAAAGGTACAATTTTTCCCCCTCTTAAACAACCAACACCAAGTTCAATTTTATAGCTGGTGACTGTATATTGTATTTTAAGCTCACAAAATATTCTAGACCAAAGCTCTCCGGAGCCCTCTGCAAGAAGGAAGAAAAGGGAGGGGAGAAGTAACTCCCTCTTGTTTCCCACTGATGTGTGCCCTGGAACAGGCAGATTTTAAGTCTGGATATTGCCCTTGGTTACTCCAGAGGCTACCCTTTTGTCATATGAATTTCACCAAAGAAACCACATATGTATAAGTTAGAATGACTTAGCAGAAGCACAAACAAGACTGAAAATCTGAAGAGAGTTTACTATTCAGAATCCTATGATATGACTCCATTTCTTTCTATTAAAGATTAGTGTTGATGGAGGCATAGCTGACCTTTATTATAGTCATTGGGACAAATGTCTCCTCTTCACAGGGAATTTTCTCCCTATTATTTGTCCCAATGTCTATGATAAAGGTCAGGGAGAGAGAAAGCAAAGGAAATATTTGTTGCCGAATGTTTTCTTCTTGTTTCTTATGTGACAGCTAATGCTTTTATATTCATCTATAAATCATGACCTATTAGTGGCAATACAAAAAATCCTTAAGTTCTTAAGAGTTTTTCTAGTTTAACTGTGTAATTGACTATGAATAGACATAGTGTGTTTCAGGGACGTGACTGATTTTCAGTAGGGAAGCCCTCTGTTGGCACCTGATGCAACAGATTGAATCTGCTATAGACCAGCTGATGTCTGGAGATGAGGCTGAAATGTGAGAACCGGGCAAAGCACTTAGAAGGAGTTAACAGGAAGTAGATTGATTCTGTTTAGTTCTAGAATAGGCTCAGAAGAATATTTGAGTATAGGAAGTACCACATACCTTTTGCCCACCTTATCAGCAGTAGGGGACTAAAATCTTGAGTGGGGGTGGCAGCTGGAATCATACTGCCTGTTTTTGGAAAAATCACTACAAGTTTGATGTAGATCTCAAAAGGAGGGAATAGTGGCAGGGGAGGAGGAAATGCATGTCTTTGCCCCATTTGATTGTTCAGTCTGGCAGCTGCCAGAAGATTAGCATTGACAGTTGTCTGAGGATCAACTGTAGATATGATGGTTGATGAATTAAAGTGAGATAATTAACAGATACCAGGCACACTGACAAATCAAGATGCTATCCAGTAAGAGGGAGGGAATAGAAATTTGGATTTATAGCATAGACTCTCAGAGCACATGGATTCATATCATCTACAGACAGATGTGTGCCTTTATGAAGTTACTTAATCTCTCTACTCTTGTCTATCTATGAAGTAGAGGTAATGCACTCATCAGGTAAGGCCAGAGGCCAGTAGAGTGTGTTTGGCATGGGAGCAATGGCTGGCATAGTTGTGAACAACACTTTTCCTCCATTAGGGTCTGCTCATTTCAGTTATCATCCTATTTGACTTCTGCCTGATGTGCATTTGACCCTTCCTTTCTTAAAGCTGTCTACCCCTTTGACTTCAGGGACACCTACCCTTTTCTAATTGCTCCTCTACTTCTTTGATCACTACTTATAGTCTGCTTCCTTAGTTTTTCTCCTCTCTTAGCTCTTGGTGTTCCCAGAGCCCCATTTCCCCCCTATATCTCTTCTCAATTTGGATGATCTTTATTCTCTGGTCTTTCTTATGGTACCTTCCAGCTGATGACTTCTAACTACATTCTTAGACCAAACCTCTTGTGCATCTTTCCTGGGAATTGAACCCAAGTGTGCTTTACTACTGAATGGATTGTGTGTGTTTGCGTGTGTGTACACGCGCACGTGCACAGGGGGTGTTCCTGGGATTCCACACCTGCTCATTCACCAATTTCTCAGTATTTATTTATTTTTATTTATAGCTGAGGGTCTCCCAAAAATGCCAAGACTGGCCTGATACTTGTGATCCTCTTGCCTCAGCCTCCTGAGTTGCTGGGATTATAGGTGAGTGCCACTGTGCTGGGCTCTTGGTGTTCTTTTCTATTCTGCAACTCTTGTAGTCCAGTCCTCTGCCCCATCTCTGCGATTTCCCAGCAATTCCTCTATTCACTTGTAGCGATGTGCGCCTGTGCTTTCCCACAGGTCTTTTCTGGGTCCTGGAGATGAAGTTTAATGGATATTTGGTTCTGCAGTAGCATTTTGTATAGAATGTATCGGTTGTTTTAAGCCATTCACATGGGTATTTCTCCCACAAGACAAGAGGTTCCCTCATACCAAAAACATTCTGTCTTGTTCTTTGGTTTCCAGAATCTACTCTGGTAGGTGAGACAAGATAGATGCCCAACGCTCAGGGTAAACGAACAGAAATATTTATTTTTTATTCACAGTGCACTCTGCCTCAGCTGCTGACTTTTTAAGAGACACGTTCCTTCTGGGCTTCAGTGTTCCCAGCCCTCCCGCGCTGTGCAGGTGAAGGGCAGCCCGGTGGCTGGCTGCCTGCCGGCGGGGCTGGGTGACTGCCCGCGCGCCTGCGCCCTCTGCAGCTCCACTCCGGGCGCGTCTCTGTGCGCGTGTGTCTGTTTGGAGAAGAGAGGCTTGGGTGACAGGCAAGGGGTAGGGCGAAGAGTTCAGTTTTAGTCGCCGGCTCATTCACCGATTTCTCAGCGGCTGGACGGAGGCCGCCTCGCCAAGCAGCTTCCAACTACTCCTGCACCTACATAGTCCCCACCTTCCTCTGCTCCATTCTCAGCCAGGCAGACTGACCGACAGACTCTCTAGTGAGTAGCGGCAGCTTGTGCGCCGGAGCTGTTCCCGGCAGTTCTGTCTTTCCACGGATTGTGTGTGTGTGTGTGTGTGTGTGTGTGTACGCGCGCGCGCGCGCGCGCACAGGGGGTGTCCCAGGGATTCCACGCCTGCTCGGAAAGCTCCCCGCCGGGATCCGTGTGTCCATCCGAGTCTGCGCTTCGGTGCGGGTGCTCTCGCAGGCAGGGACTCGGACGCCGGGATTCCCCGGCTCCCTGCGCAGCGGCTGGTGGGGTTCCCCCGGAAGGCGCCTGGGAGAGCAGGCGGTGGGGAAGCCCGGGCTTGTGAGCTGCTAGCAGGCCGGGAATCTGGGAGCAAGTCCGGCCCAGCCCGGCTGATGGAGACGGCAGAGCGGCCACCCCTTGGCCGCCTAGCCTCTCTTTCTCCCTTCTTTCTCCTTTCTTCTCACAGCGGCATCACAAAAGCGGGTAGCAGAATGAAATCCAATGCGGCGAAGCTCGACTGTCTTCCACCTGGTGCACATCACCCCCAGGAGGGAGAGACCAAGTGGGGCTCCCCAAGATTAGAAACAGGGGCTTACCCCAGAGGCACACCCGTGTTCCACTCTCTCTGAATTTAAGCTGGATGTTGGATCGCGCGAGTCGTTCCAACACTTACACACCGATGTGTGTGTGTGTGTGTGTGTGTGTGTGTGTCCGCGCACGCGCGCACGCACCCCAGAGCCCACGTTCACGGAGTGCAATCGATAAATAGCTCAACTCCCTGCCTGCCTGCGCTTGCATAGCCGGTGGGCTCCTTGCGCGCGCTGTGACAGCGTGCCAAGCATCTCTTTGTTTGGTTGTGGCTTCCCCAGCCATCTGCAAAGCAAATTGATTTTCAGTTTCGCTTGCGCGCTGGGACTTAATGTCAGCCCCAGTCTCCAGTGCCCCTGGTATTTGTAATTGAATAGTTCTTTCTGTCAGGAGGTTATTTTTAGTGTTGGGATTAGACACAAGCACGTTGACCTTTTTGCTACTACCTTTGGCTTTCAGTAGGTGATGGAGCAGACAGATGCCTATCTACTTGCACACACGTGCCAGCGCACAAGTGTGCACACACATTTCTACGCATGTAGTTTCTCCCTCTTTCTTTTTTTTTTCTTTTTAAATTGGGATTGGGAATGCATTGTGAGTTAAAAAAAACAACTTTCCTTTGTTCTTTTGGGGATTTTTCTATTTTGAGTAATGGAGTAGGAGTGCGAAAAGGTTGCAATTAGTTCACTCGAATAAAAGACACTGCCTCTGAGTCAGAGCTGCCAGGTTGATAATTATTAACATATAATAGCAATGCACAGTTTAAGGCAAAAGGGGCGGGGCGGGGGCAGGTCTGCGGCAGACAATGAGGGAGTCTCTGCCGACCGCCTGCTGTTTATTGTTCCGGGACCTGAGAATGAGGCCGGCAGCTGCCCCCTCCTGCAGAGTTTAGCTCCTGGATTTGCTGTGATTTGCATTCGGGATCATCGGGGTCACCTAACGCTAGTCGCTGGGGCGCCGAATGCCAGCCTCAGCCGCCTTTCACTGACAGTCTCTTCTCTATTTTCCAGATTGGCACCTTCACGCCCGAGGTGTCCCAAGCCCAGGAGGCCCGGATCCGGTGCCCCTGGGGCAGCCAGACGGGATGTCGTGCGGACAGCGGTGCTAACTAAGTGCCTCCACGCTGGGAGCCAGGCGCACTGGCTCCTGGCCACCGGCCGAGCGGCGGCGGCGGCGGCGGCGGGGATGAGCCCCGGACTCCCCAGGCGCCTGCCGCGAGCTACCGCCCCGTGGTGGACGCCACGCAGGGTTCCTCGCTGGACAGCGCGAACCCTTTCTCGCCGGGGCACGCGGCTGCGGAGCTCAGGGCCGCGCCTGCTGTCAGGATGCCCTGGGCGCCTCCCTGTTGGTGAGGATGCCCTGCTGTGAGGTTCTGCCATCCCTATTCCTGGTCTCAAGCGGGCGCGACTGAGCTGGCCGGGCTTTAGCCCCTTGCGCCGGTGGATGAAAAGAGCTGGAGTCCTCGTGTGCGATCAGCGATCGAATCTGAATTCTAAGAGCCATGGACGAAAGTCCTGGGCCGCAGCAGCCCCCGGGGAAAGAGCAGCTGGAGGCACCAGTCCCAGAAGGAGCTGTCCAAGAGAAGTTTGAGCCAGAGACCTTCAGGTCCAAGAGTTTACCGGTCCTGAACAGCGCCTCCTGCCGGCCGAACCTCAGTCCTGAGAGTGTAGACTGCAAGGCGGCCTTTGGCTGTAAGGATTCTTTAAGCCACCAGAAGTCCAAGCAAGGCCGGAACCCGTTGGCCCCCAGTCCTTCTGCCCCATCCACTTCGGCTGGGATGGCAGGACTCGTGGACTGTACCCACAGGAAGGACGTGAGCAAAACCGTCTCGGTGTCCTCCACCCTGGCCACACTCCAGGAGAGACCGTGCCTGCATGTGGTCCTCACTGATTCCCGCTGCTTCCTGGTTTGTATGTGCTTTCTGACCTTCATCCAAGCGTTAATGGTCTCTGGGTACCTGAGCAGTGTCATCACCACCATTGAAAGACGCTACAGTTTAAAGAGTTCTGAGTCGGGGCTGCTGGTCAGCTGCTTTGACATCGGGAACCTGGTGGTGGTGGTGTTCGTCAGCTATTTTGGGGGCCGGGGTCGGCGGCCCCTGTGGCTGGCGGTAGGTGGACTTTTCATTGCCATCGGAGCTGTCCTCTTCGCCTTACCTCACTTCATCTCGCCTCCCTACCAGATCCAGGAGTTGAACGCCTCGGCGTCCAACGATGGCTTGTGCCAGAATGGCAACTCCACGACCGCTTCGGAGCCTGCCCCCTGTCCCAAGGACTCGGGAGGTAATAGCCACTGGGTCTATGTGGCTTTATTCATCTGTGCACAGATTCTCATTGGAATGGGCTCCACGCCTATTTATACCCTGGGACCAACCTACTTGGATGACAATGTTAAGAAAGAAAATGCATCCTTGTACCTAGGTAAGACTTCTGAAACTTACTTTCCTTCCAAGAAATCAGAAGGAAACATGTCTTTCACATTTTCAAATATTTTAAGCATTAAGATTCACTTTATTTTAGATTTTGGGCTTGGTGTGGTGAGTTTTTGACTTGGAGGAGAATCAATTACTTGAGAAATCTTGGAACTAATCTCAGGCTTACACTTCACATTTGTATTTCAGGGTAGTGTTTCTCTCTCTTGTTGCCTACCTTTGGAAAAAGTCTTCATTTGTGAAGTTTATCCTTTAGTAACTGTCCTTCTTGGATTCAGGAAGAAAGGAAAGTAATGATAGCATGTCAAGTTTTGAATTATTGCTTTTATCTATTGCTGCCTCTTATTCCTGTCTGCAGCATATAACAGAGAAGCCAGACTACATAGAACATGCTATATTACCCACATCCCTATACCTTACACATCACTTGCATCATTATTAAAAAAAAAAAATTCGCTGGGCCTGGTGGTGTACATATGTAATCCCAGTGGCTCTGCAGGCTGAGGCAGGAGAATCACCAGTTCAAAGCCAGCCTCGACAAAAGTGAGGCACTAAGCAACTCAGTGAGACTATGTCTCTAAATAAAATACAAACTAGGGCTGGGGATGTGGCTTCATGGTCAAGTGCCCCTGAGTTAAATCCTCTGTATCCTCAAAAGAAAAAAAAAATCACCAACAAAAGCCTGCAAGATATCAGTTGACTTCTTCATGCAGAAACAACAACACAAGTTGTAAAGTTTATTCAAAGCTATTTTTTTTTTATTGTGAATTGAAGACCCTCAGTGACCTGAACTTGGGAGAAGAATTTATTACCAGATGAAGAGCAGAGACTCTGGGACTTGGTATATTAATTTGCATAAATCTGCACCAGTGGACAGGGTCTTGGGTGTTTGGGTTAAAGTATAAGGTGAGACCAGGTAGTTAAAGGTAGAGTTAATTTACTTCCTAGAACTGAATCTATGTGGTTGTCAGTACCTCCTTGTAGTAGCTGCTCCTTCAAATCTGCACTTTTAAGGGCTAGATTTGAACCTGTGAAAGGATGAATAGCTGTTACAGCAGATGAGATCTTGGTTATTCTGTTTCTCTACTTGGTTTCTCTGTTTCAGTTTCCAACTAAACAAGGTAAAGGGTTCTACTTTATAAAAAAAATTAAACAGGTAAATAAGTAAGTAATAGCTACATTTAGTAACTTATTTGCCTTGTGCTGATAGGATCCTTGGTGTGGGAATGAATAATAAGGTTTTCAAAGGACAGTGAAAAAGATACGTAGTGTTAGAAGGCTATGATTTGTCCTCAGTATAGTCGCCATTCCCAGAAACTGTCATTGTTTGGTATGTAAGTCCCAGTAGTTCCTAATAACCAGCCTGATCATCAGGACAGAGTTTTAGAACTTATTTTTATTAAATGTAAGAGAAGGAAATTCTTTTTAGGCAGAGAGGAATAGTTTGCTTGTTACCTTGTCTCTGTGTTATCTATCATTATACATTTAAAAAATATACACAGAAGCTAAAATAACAGTATAATGAACATCAATATATCCATCACCTAGATTTAATAATTGCTCATTTTGTCAAGTTTATAAACCTTTGTATATATGTGTATGGAAATATAATCTTTGGGGAAGGGAGCTAAACTCTTTGAAAGTAAGTGCTTACTTTCAAACACTAACTTTCAGTATGCACCTTACAAAATATAAGGGCATTCCGGGGGCTGAAGATATAGCTCAGTGGAAGAGCACTCATTATGTGGGTGGGCTTTGGGTTTGATGTCTAGCACTGGTAAAATAATATGAAAAAAAAGGCATTCTTTTACACAATTGCAGAAGCATTAGCATCCTAAGAAAGTTAGTAATCATTCCTTAATATCATCAAATATCCAATCCAAATTCAAATTTTCTCAATTATCCCCCGAAAGTCTTTTATAATAATTATTAATTTTTAAACTAGGAACTGACCAAGGATTACACAGACATTGCCTTATTTAGCTGCTCACCTTGGAAGTCTTTTATAATCCAGAATAGTGCCTCAGCTTTCTTTTTTCCTCTTTTTCTATGACAAAGACTTTTTTTTTTTTTTAAAGAGAGGGTGAGAGAGGGGAGAGAGAGAGAGTTTTTAATATTTATTTTTTAGTTCTCGGCGGACACAACATCTTTGTTGGTATGTGGTGCTGAGGATCGAACCCGGGCCGCACGCATGCTACCGCTTGAGCCACATCCCCAGCCCGACAAAGACTTTTTGAAAAGGGAAAGCTAGTTGATTTGTAGAATGCTCCTTCTGCATTCTAGATTCATCTGAGCATTTCCATGTGGTATCACTTACTGTGTTCCTCCACTTGCTGTATTTCCTGTATCCTGGTATTTCATTCTAAAGGCTTGATTAAATTCAGACAAAACATTTTTGTTAGACTGCTTCATAGGCAATGGCATTTGGCCATTCCTTAGTGATGTTAATTTTAATGAGTTTGCTGAGAGATTGATTGTTGGATGTTTCATTGTCAGGATATTTTTCTCCATTTGAAAATAATAAATTATCTTTAGGGTGATAATTAACTCTATGCAAACTCAATTAGTGTTCATATTCTTGCTGATATTTGTCTCCACTTACTTTGAAAACTTGAATCTCCCTTTCATTCTGCTTCTGGGTACCATTGATAGAAACTTTCTGCATCAAAATCACAAGTATTATGCAAAGGGTGAATATCCATTAATAAGAATCCTGAGAATTAACTCTTTTGGTAGTGTCATTTGCCAAGAAGAAAAACAGTAAGAATATATTAAATATGTATCTTATGCTAGGCACTAGGCACTGCTAGTTTGTTTGTTTTGTAATTCTGGGAATCAAATCTGGGATCTTATATATACTAGGCAAGTGCTTTACCACTGAGCTATACTCCCAGCCCAATGCTAATTTTGAGAAGACCAAAAGTGAAACAGTCCCAGCATTTGAGGAGTTTTCAGTGTAATTAGGAAACATTGCTAATTCAAAGTGTGGATGTTAAGGGGAGGAAAGATTTCTTTCTGTTACTGGGGTTTGAACCCTGGGATGCTCTCCCACTGAGCTACATCCCCAGCTCATTTTATTTTGAGACAGAGTCCCAGACTGGCTTTGAACTTGAGACCTTCCTGCCTCAGCCTCCCCAGTAATTGGGATTACAGGCATGTATGACCATGCCTGGTTTCCTCTTCATTTTAAAAAAGACATTGACTAAATTGATTTTTGGAAAAAAATCCTGTGAATTTTTTTTTTTTTGGCATGGTACTGGAGATCCAATCCATATCCCCAGCCCCTTAGAACATATTCTTAAGGAAACCCATAATTCTCCTTTATATTACACAAATCTCAGTAAAAGTTATGATAGTTGGAGTATCAATAATCTTACATGTATTATTTTGTTAAATGTTCTCAAAGGCCTTATGAGATGGGTTTTTTTTTGTTTTTTGTTTTTTTTTGTTTCATGGATGAAGAAACTGAGGTTCAGAGAGAGTTAAAGTGACTTGCGTAAGGGTCTGAAGTCCATGTCCTCTGACCCAGAGTCCCAAGCTTCCCCTGCACGCTCTGTGGCTTTCAGGCGAGAGGCCCTGAGAGCTAATGGGAACTGAAGGATGAGCCACATTCAACAGTTTGAGTACAGTGCAGAAGAATGCAGAACTGGCCTGGGGGTCTCAAGACATGATCAAAGCAAGATTGTTCACGAAACCTTTTAAAGTAGGCTTTACAGGCTACCTCTGTACGTATTAAGAACAGAGAGACTACTGTTTTCTAAGAACATGAGCAGAGTTAATCAATTATGATGTGGGATTGTAAAAATAGGGTTAGAATTTCTTTATTCCTTTTTTTTTTAAAAAATAAAACTGCTCTTCTATATTAACTTTTCTACCACCCACCCATTTTCTAACCTTCCTGTCAGTTTTTCTAACTTTTCATTACAACCACAAAAGAAACAAAGGAAGAAAAATCAGCACATTAGTAATTACAGGCAGGAGCAAATATCTAAAGTAACATTAAAACCATTGAAATGGAATGTAATTGTATATCTTAATCTTTTGAAAGGCCTATGTTAACGTTCTGGCAGCTTTAACTCTAGAAGAGACGTGGTCATAGATGATAGATAGGAGGGTTTATACCCACTAAGTGCCCTAAGTCTTCTGCAAGGACAGAGCCTTGATATTGACCTGGAGCATAGAGAAGGCTTTGTAGGTATTAATAAGAAGTAGGATCAGCAATTAGACCATGATTCGTAGTCATTCCTCAGAGGGAGAGAGAAAATGTGATCCTTTGGAGGTAAGAAATTCATGAACCAACATCGAAAGGAGAAAGAATGGCTACCCAGGTGGGAAAAGGAGAAAAAGAATGTTCTAAAATAAACAACTACAGCTCTAATTGGGTGATATTCAGGATGAGTGATGATTGGCATGGGTTAGCCATCGGTCAAGCAGGGTGGATGTCAGCTATTCTACCTCCTTGGGTGACTCCTAACTGTCAGCTCTAACTTACATCACAGGAAAGGGTTAGAGTTGACTTAGAAAGGGCAGCAGAGAAGGAAGAAGGAAATCTGTAGTTCAGTTTTGCTCTACAAAGGATTGCTCCTGGGTCTTTAGACAAGCCCCTTTGCTTCTTTCAGTCTCTGTTTCCACTGGGAATATATATATTTTTCCTTTACTGTCATATTTTGAGGACTAAGTGGGATTCCATATGTGAAAATGTTCTGCAAACCTTAAGGAATGCAACTTCGTTGTCAAAGCAGAATTCATACTCATCCTAGAGAGTGGGCAGAGAGGGGAGTGAGAGTGCTTTGCTCTTTAAATGAATCCATTTTTATGATTGGAATAAAGGAAAGTAACATTGTACAGGAAATCAAAACATTGTATAGGAAATCATAACTTGGAAACGTACAGGAAAATCTTAATATGATACTCTGATTCATTATATTTTCTGAGGACCCAAGATTTTGTTATCAGAATTTTCTGCATTCAATCTTTGATGACTATCTT